CTCTCTCTCTCTCTCTCTCTCTCTCTCTCTCTCTCTCTTTCTCTCATCTTTTCCATTCCCCCTCAAATTTTTTTTTTTAAATCTACAAGACAATAGCCACCTTAAACAACGCATTGGATTGGATTGTTTAAATTGATATTTTCAGAACATTTCATCCCAAAGCAGAAGGATATACATTCTTCTCAAGTGCACATGGGATATTATCAAAGATAGACCACATGTTAGGACACAAAATTAGTCTTAAAAATTTCAAGAAGATTGAAATCATATCAAGCATATCCTCTGACCACAATGATATAAAACTAGAAACCAATTACCGTAAAAAAACAAAACAAAACAAAACAAAAACCTGGAAAACATTCAAACACAGAGAGACTGACTAGCATGTTATTAAATAATGAATGGGTTAACAATGAGATCAAGGAAGAGATAAAAAAAATTATTGGAAACAAATGAAAATGAACACACCAACAACCCAAAATCCATGGAACACATCCAAAGCAGTCCTGACAGGGAAGTTCATAGCATTACAGGCCTTCCTCAAGAAGCAAGAAAAATAAACAATCTAACTGTACACCTAAAGGAACTAGAAAAAGAACAATATGTGAAGCCCAGAGTAAGTACAAGGAAGACAATAATAAAGATCAGAGCAGAAACAAATGATGCAGAAACTTAAAAAAAATCACTGAAGATAAGAGCTCATTATTTGAAAAGGTAAAAGGTAAATAAGATTGATGAACCCTTAACCAGACTCATCAAGATAAAAAGAGAGAGAACCCAAATAAATAAAATCAGAAATGAAAAGGGAGGTATAAAAACAACATCACAGAAATACAAAGATTGTAAGAAAAAAAAATACTATGTATAATTATATGCTAAAAAATTGGACAACCTGTGTGAAACAGACATATACCTAGAAAAATACCAAAATACAATCTTCCAAAACTGAATCAGGAAGAATCAGAAAACCTGATAGACTGATCTCAGCTAATGAAATTGAAGCAGGGAACAGAAGTTCTGGACCAGATGCCTTCACAGACAAATTTTACGAAACATTTAAAGAAGAATTAACACCTATTCTTCTCAAATTATTCCAAAAATTTCAGGAGGATGGAAGACTTCCAGGCTCTTTTTACAAAGCCAGCCAGCATTTTTCTAATTCCAAAACCAGATAAAGACACTACGAAGAAAGAAAAGTATAGGCTAATAAGTCTCATGCACATAGATGCTAAAATTCTCAAAAAATATTAGCAGCCTGGATCCAGCAACACATTAAAAAGATCATACACTCTGATGAAGTGGCATTTATTCCAATAAGGCAAGGTTGGTACAATATTTGCAGATCAATAAATGTGATACATCACACAAAGAAAATGAAGGACAAAAATCACATGATCATATCAATAGATGAGAAAAAGCATTTGATAAAACCCAACACCCATTTATGATAAAATGCTTAGCAAAGTGGGAATGGAGGGAACTAACATAATAAAGGCCATATATGACAAACCTACAGCCAACATAATGCCCAGATCGCAGCTCAATCCCTAGTAATCATTGAGGGAGGCAGTCAATCAATGATTCCCTCTCATCATTGATGTTTCTATCTCTCTCCCTTTCCTCTCCTCTCTGAAATGGATAAAAGACTTAAATGTAAATCATGAAACTATAAAAATTCAAATAAAACATAGGCAGTAAAGTCACAGACATCTCTGGTAGCATATTTTTACCAATATATCTCCTGGGGCAAGGAAAACAAGGGGGAAAATGGGACTTCATCAAACTAAAAAGTTTTGCATAGAGAAAACAAACAGACATCAACAAAATGAAAAGGGAACTCTTTGGATGGGAGATCATAAGAACATTTTTGACAGTGATACATTTGGTAAGGGTTTAATTTTTAAAATATATAAAGAACTTAAAGTATTCAATATCAAGAAGATAAACAATTCAATTTTAAAAATGAGCAAAGGACCTGGATAGACATATCTCCAAACAGGACACAGAGATGGCCAATAGACATATAAAAAAATGCTCAACATCACTAATCACACCTGCCAGAATGAGATGTCACTACAATGAGATATTAGCTCACACCTGTCAGAATGGCTACCATCAACAAATCAACAAACAACAAGTGCTGGTGAGGATGTGGAGTAAAGGAAATGCTAGTCCACTGCTGGTGGGAATGCAGACTGGTGCAGCCACTGTGGAGAACAGTATGGCATTTCCTCAAAAAATTAAAAATGGAACTTCCTTTTGAGCCAGCAATTCCACTTCTGGGAATATATTCTAAGAAACCCAAAACACTAATTCAAAAGAATATATGCACCCCTATGTTCACTGAAGCATTATTTACAATTAGTAGCCCTGTGCATGAATCCGTATGCCTGTAGTTCACTGCGCCCTCAGTAGCTCTCTACCCACTGCCCCACCATCCTGTAACTCCCCCCACCCCCTCCCCCACCTCCTCATAGCTTGCTGCCCTGCCCCCTCCTTTAGCTCTCTGCTGCCTGCTTGTAGCCAGTAGCTCACAGCTACCCTCCTGTAGCTCTCTGCCTGCTTCCCCCACTTCCTGTAGCTCCCTTCCCCCACCCCACCCCCCCATAGCTTGCTGCCCTGCCCTCTCCTGTAGCTCTCCAAGGCCTACTTGTAGCTAGCTGCCCCACTCTCCTGCTGATCCGTGATCCTGTTGTTACACAGTCGGTATGCTTCACGGCATAATGACCATTTGCATATTACATCTTTATTATATAGGATAGCCAAGACCTGGAAACAGCCCAAATGCCCATCTTTAGACTGTTGGATAAAGAAGCTGTGGTACATTTACACATGGAATACTATGTGGCCATAAAAAAGAATAAAATTTTATCTTTTTCAACAGGATATATGGACCCGGAGATTATTATGCTAAGTGAAATAAGCCAGTCAAAAATACAAGTGCCATATTATTTCACTCATATGTAGAATCTAATGAACAAAATAAACTGACAAAATAGAAAGAGAGACATTTTTACATGAATGAACTGACAGCTGACAGAGGGAGAAGGGTTGAAGGACTGAATGAAAGAGGGTGAAGGAATAAGCCAAAAAAAAAAAAAAATGTATACATAATACCTAGACAGACAACAGTGTGGTGATAGCCAGAGAGAAGGGGGGGGGGGGGGGGGTTGGGGGAGCCAGACCTGAGCAAAAAGTGGGATAATGGGGATGGAAATTAACTTTGCTTGGGGCAATGGTCACAAGATTCAGTGTGCATACTAAGTTTTGTCTAGTTGTATACTTGAAACCTGCCTATATGGTTTTGTGAGCCAATATCATTCCAATAAATTCAATTTAACAAATAAAATATAAAATATTTAACACCCAAGAGTCATAGTCATTGGATGTGTCTGTGTTCCCCTGAATCAGAAAGCCATTTTCTCACTTCACCTCTGTCTGTCCATTGTGACAATGCAGGGATGGGCTGAGGGAATAAATTGCTCTTGTTAGAGCCTTAGACAGTAGTGGTAGAGACGGGTTGGCAAGTTAAGTGGAGTATTTGGGTGGCAAAATAAAAAAAATACAGGACAGCTTGTCCTTTATTACATAACAGCATGGAAGCCAGCCGGATTGGAATTCAAGGCCTGGTCTCTATCACTTGCTCCCGGTCACTCTGAGCCTTGTTTTCCTCCTTAAAATGGGGATGTGTCATTTGCAGCTTTGTGAAAGGCTTATAGATAAAATATGTCTCATGTCTTTGACATAGTGGGTGGTTAATAAATGGTCGCTATTGTCATCAACTCTAAACCCTGTCTGTACTTCTTCCTAAGTTAGGGTGGAATTTTTGCACGAAAGAGGAAAAGGTGAGAAGTGAGTTAGTAGCTCAACCACTGTTGCTTTTGGCATCTGGACCTTTTTTTCTTTTTTTTTTTCTTTTTTTTTTTTTTTTAATATATTTTATTGATTTTGTACAGAGAGGAAGGGAGAGAGATAGAGAGTTAGAAACATTGATGAGAGAGAGTCTCTCTCATCGATCAGCTGCCTCTTGCACACCCCCTACCGAGGATATGGCCGCAACCAAGGTACATGCCCTTGACTGGAATCAAACCCGGGACCCTTCAATCCCCAAGCCGATGCTCTATCCATTGAGCCAAACGGGTCTCGGCTGGACCTTTTTTTCTATTCCCACCTCAGACCTTAGGTGCCACTTGAGCAGCTGAATATAGTAATGTTCATAGGGTTAATGTACAATAATTGCTAAATCTGACTGCAATGTTTTATAAAGTTCTAGAGACTACCAGTAACATCCTAAAAATATCCCTGTTGAAACTGATGTTACTAGAGCCTCCTGGAGGGGTGTGGTCACTAAGGTATAGACCTATTACCATGAATTTTAAGCCCTTGGGCCTTCTAGAATCTATGCCCACTGGCCTGGAGATCTCTTTCAAATACCTAAAGACTTGTAAAGGAACCAAATATAAACATAACAATGCTTCTGATAAGTTTAGCATATACTTAAATTTCTAGGCAATTTAAGGGATCTTGTATTTTTGTTAGCTTTTTTTTCTGTTTATATATATATATATATATATATATATATATATATATATATTATATAATCATAATTTCTGGCTGAAATTCAACCCTATCCATACTTAGCAGCAGGAAAACTAATACTATTTAGTAAGAAAAGGGAGTGGTCTGAAACTATGATTAAGAAAAACAAGGCACTTTACCTGAACAAATTTCAAATGGATCCATTTAAAATGAAATCTAAATGGCACTTAACTGGTTGGCAAATTGGGACCTATTTATCTCAGGAAAAATTACTCAAGTCTTAATTTATCCCTAAAATTGGCTTTATTATTACATTTAATTACACTAGAAGCTTGTTAAAGACTTGTAGGTTCTTTCTATCCCTTTAAACTGCACTTTATACAGACCGTAATTGAATATTGGAAAGAAGAACTCGATTTCCAAAGAAATATGTTTCTAATATTTTTCTCTTTTCATTGCAGAAATTGAAACAAGTTGAAGAAACAAAAGAGGATCCTGAGAATAGATTATCTAAAATTTCCCTGGAGTCGTTCAATAAATACAACAGCAATACTGTGATTTTATTAGAAAAAGAGAAGAACTCTCCGAACAAGGTTGAAGGAAGAAAGGAAGAAAAAGAAAAAAATGAGGAGGCCTCTTTGAGTAGCTCAGACAGGCCTGGGGTAGACAATTTGGAATCTTTGAGTGATTCTTTGTATGATAGCTTCTCTTCCTGTGCAAGTCAGGGTTCGAATGATGCATAAAGGACTTTTCCCCCCTTAGTGAGCTGGAAATGGAGCACCTCAGAAACAGGGTTGGGAGGGGCAGGCAGAGATGACAATAATAAACTATTACCACACCAGCGCCTGTGCTTTCAGGCTCGCAGCAGGGGACCCACTGGAGCTTTCTTCTCTGACAGGGCAATAAAGACAGACTCCATGTGTTGTTTCCTAAGGATTAAAAGTAAACACACCCACAATGCAGAAGTCTTAATTTTGCACTTTTTAAAATACTTTGTACAGAAGTTGTAAATTTTTTGGAAAAGAAGTTATATTTGTAGGAAAAAAGAAAGCAATAAGTTAAATCAGTGCCATGCTCTTGAAATGATGTACTAAGTCTTTCAGAAGTGGATGATAATATATTTTTAAGATTCCAACTAAAGTTTTTGTCCAGTTCATCTTCTTGTGCTTAAATTGTTTGTGGGTTCACTCCGAAAACCTAAAACAGGGCCTGCAAAAACAAAAAACAAAACACAAAACTAACGAACAAAACAACAACAGAGACTCATTATCATCTCCAACTCCCCATCTTGATTTGATATAAACTTTAATTCTAGTGTAACTTCAAAATTGTTGCCAGAACTATGGAGGCTTAGTAATGAGCATAATTCCGCTCCTACTGAGAAATGTAAAGAGAACTGAAGTGTGACACTGATCCCTGGGGATGCGTATCAGAAGTGACCTGATTCTATTTTCAATAGCAGATCTCCTTCCCAAACATTTCCTTCCACCTCCTCTACTTAGTCCTTCACTATGATTCGGGACACTTTTGTTGATTTTTATTTTCCTGCTCTTTTTATTAAAATCTGGGCAATTTAGAGTGAAAGCAAATTTCTATATACAATGTTCACTTAAAAAAATTTTTAACGGTTGGTGCTATGAAAAATTCTTACTTTTTAATATCCCTTTTTTCTACAAAGTGTTTATATGTAAGGATAAATTCTATTTTAAAGGTTATGTGTATTTTTTCTAGATGTGAACTATTTATAATGGTTTTTGTACAGGAGCTTGTAAACTAGGCGTAATAGAAATATTTTTTAGACTCTGTATAGTTACTTTAGTACACACCTGTTTCTTTAAAGACTGTTGTATGATCAGTGTTATTTGGTACATTTGTGCAATTTGTTATATTTGGATTTAAATGAACATTATGTAACGTGTCGTCGTCTTTCAGACCTTTAAAAATTCTTTTGATTCATTTCTGAATAAAAGTCATATCACAATCGAACCCGTGAAAGCTTAGAGGAACTTGTGCAAAGAGCCTCTGGCCTGGTTTAGTTGTTGGAATCTCACACGTGCTCCAAGGATGTATTGGCTCAGGGACTAAATAAACCGGCCCTCTTGCTCCGGAGACAGTAATTCAGTCACTTGTCAGATCCGGGGCTGCCTGCCAGGGAAGGAGCAATGGTCGAAGCATTTCCCTCTCCCCAAGCGGTAAACCGGCTAGAAGGGAAAGGAAGAGGGGGTGCAGAAGGCCAGGAGACTTGGGGAGATGGGGCTGTTCTGCAGAGGAAGTACCAGAAAGTCCTCGCAGCCTTTTCCAGCCCGCTCTGCCGGCGGGATGGGGAAGTGACAGATCTGCAGGAGCTCCTCCGGGAGGCGGCCGAGAAGGTGAAGAGCGGCAATGCCTCTGAAACTATTTCCACATAAAGGGGTGCTCCCTGGGGATCTGGGGGAGGGAGAGGGGGAGGGCGGGTGGGAACTGCGGGATTGGGGGCGGGGGCAACGAAGCTCTCCGGCAGGCAGGCAAGCCAGCGGACTCCCGTGCCACCTGCTGCCAGGCTCTGCGGCGGGAGGCGGAGCGGCCGGCGCGGCCCGCGGCTCCCCGGCGGGTCTCTAGGTGGGTCCCCGGAGCCGGAGAGGAAGGATGGGGGGGGGGGGGTTAGGCAGAGCAGCGGGACCCAGTGCGAGTGCGGGGCCGGGGAGGAGCGGCAGCGGGGCGGACGCAGGAGCGTATTCCAATGGCCCACGGATGTGAGAGGAGGAGGATGCCTCCGGGCCCTTGGGGAGAAGGAGATGGAGCCATCCCCTCTTCGTTCCAATCTGCTGTCTATGGGAGGACACGGCGGCGGTCCAGGCGGTGCTCTCCGGGGCAGTCTCTCCACACCCGCCAGCGGGGCGTGGCGGCAGAGGAAAGGGGGAGGGGGGCCTGCCTGGAGCTGGGTGCGGGTCAGGGCCGGGCCCACCGCCCCCGCCCACCGTCCACAGCTGCAGCCGAGCCCGGCGAGGACGGGGCTGATCCGGGGAAGGAGGCCAGCTGCGCCCATCAGCAGGGCGGCGGCAGGTGTGAACTTTGCGGGCCCGGAGCGCGCTCCCGCCCCGCTGGGAGGACGGACCCGCCGGCGGGAGCCAGCCAGCCGCCGGCACCGGCCAACCCGGGAGCGCAGGGGTCCCTGCGGGAGCGCAGTCTGCCGACCCCATCGAGCAGGTCCCGCCTCGCAGGACCCGCAGTCCGCGCCTGGCCCGTCCCTGGCGCACCTGCTGCGCCTCCTCTCGCTTCCCTCATCCCGCCTCCCCCTCCCCCACCTCGGAAAACTGCTCGCTCTCCCTCCGTGCCCCTGTCCGCTGGGGGTGCGGGGGCTGGCGAGGACGGCGATGGGAAGGGGGTGGGGACGCGGAGAGACAGTCCCAGCCTTCCCCGCCCGCCACCCCTACCCCCACCCCAATCAGCCGCCGTCACGTGGTGCGGGAGTGGGCGGCGAGGAGAGAGGCTGGACTTTTCGGGTGCTGCTTCGCCAGTAGTTCCTCCGTCTCCCCGCCAACTCCGCACGCAGCGAGCGCGGCCCGGAGCGAGCCCCGCGCGGGCGGGCGATGCGGGCGCCGCTGGCGGCACCTGCGGCTCCTCTCGGCGGCGACGGGCGCCTCGGCGACTGCAGCGCGGGCCCCCGCAGCCCCGGCAGCCCCCGCCGCCTCCGAGGCACCCGCCCGCTCCCGGCCCCGCGGCTCCGGGAGGATGTGGATCCTCGGCGTCGCAGCTACGTTTTGCGGGTGGTTCTTGCTTCAAGGTAAGAGGGAGGGCCGGCCGCCCAGCCCCGGCGCCCCGGGCTGCGCGGAGGCTGCCCCGCTGGAGTTCGGCGGCGGCCGGAGCCCGGGGCCCCGGGAGGGAGAGTCTCCGGTCGGCGCCGCTGGGGGAGGGCGGGAGGCTGGTCTGCAGGACTCGGGCTGCAGGCGCTCGGTGCTCGGAGCTCGGACTGCACGGTCTGAAGAAGCAGCACCGGTAGGAGGGAGGGTCCGGGCTGCGCCGGGGCCTCCGCCCGGGAGAGACGCCGGCAGCCCCAGCCTCGCCAAGTTGCCAGGCGTCTCTAGCAACCCGTGGGAGTGGCGCCGCCGGCAGGGGAAGGCGCGCTGGGCAGTCAGTGCGGGGCGTGCTGGGCTGTGACCGTGCGGCCGCGACCCTCTGGGCCCGGGAACTGGGACGGGCGAGCCTGGGAACCAGGCTTGGCTGCGCAGGAGCTGGGGGAGTTAGGTCCAGCCCGAAAGCGCCTGGGTCCTGGTGGAGTAGCCAGGCTGGAGGTGCAAAACGTCTCGCTCCTTCTTCCCAGTTCGCCACCGTCTTCCGATTGAGCTCTGCAGAGCTGGGACCCCAGCCGGGCACCCTGGCCAGGGGGTGGCCCCCTTAGCTGGAAAGAAAGGGCTGTGGTGTAGCGGCCTGGGGTGCCTGCCCGCGCACACACGCGCCTTCCCCAGCGGGAACGTCCCGGGGAGAAGCCGGGACTGGGGGCTCAGAGATGCTCGGTGTCTGGCACTTCCTCCCGGGTTTCCGGCTGGTTTCCTGGGCGTCTCTGAGCCCCAGGAAAGCTGACTTCAAACATTCGTAAAACTAAAAAAGGCGTCTGCGAATGCAGTCGCAAAGTAGTAATTAAGCAATTTGTAACCAATTAACAATTAGGCAAATCCTTTAGCGCAGACGGGAGCTGACGCTTGTCTCTGGGAGCTATTGGGTCGCGGGGGTTGCACACCCCTCCTTGCAACTTCCGAGCTGGAAGGCCAGGTGAGGAGCTGGGGCCAGGTGTAGCGGCAGACCTCCACTTCACCGCCAGGACTCTGGGCGCCGTGCCGCCCCCTGCCGGCTGCAGCCACGTCGGCTTCACTCGGAAACTGCTGCCCAGAGCACCCAGGCCGCTGGATGGGCAGAGGAGGGTCCGGTCCAGGTATCCCTGGGGTCTTGGCAGGGGCTGGATCTGAACCCTGCTGCGTCTGTCCCGCAGGCTCTGCGCTGCAGATCCAGTGCTACCAGTGTGAGGAGTTCCAGCTGAACAACGACTGCTCGTCCCCGGAGTTCATCGTGAACTGCACGGTGAACGTGCAGGACATGTGTCAGAAAGAAGTGATGGAGCAAAGCGCGGGTAAGAGCCTGCCGCTCCCCTCCCCTCCCCGCCTGGGCCGCTGTGAGCCAGGGAACCACTAAATTACAGGAAAAGGGGACTGACTTTGATTCATGCCTACACCCTGGTTATCACAGATTTACTCTCCCAGTGCTGGGAAAATGAAGAGTTCCAAGTTCCTTTAATCTCATTAGGCTTAATTACCAGGGCTTCTCCTCCAGGGACTCGGGCGGGGAAGTGCATTTAATGAGTGGCTCTCCTCTTTTTATTTACTCCCCTCGCTTCCCTCTGCCAAACGCGGATCCGGAGGCTGCAGAATATATGGATAAGCAGCTCAACTCCGACAGCTAGACAGGGCCCTGCGCGTGGTGTCAGCCTGAAATATGAAGCTAGTGGAAGTTCCCAGAGGTCAGAGCGTGAAAAATGGGTTATGTCATAGAGCCGCCCCGTATTTCTCTAAAGAACACTACGGGGTCTTTCTTCTGTATCACACTCCAGGCACTCCAGGCACAGATTGCCAAGATCTTTTGAAGGAATGCGGTGCGCAGCCCCCAGGGCTTAGTGGCTGGCTGGCTGGCTGGCTGGTGGAGGAGAGGGCTGGACTATATGTGAGGGGGAAAGGGGTCTTGGGAGAGGAAACCGTGTTCACTCCTCCTTGTTCACTGACCAGTCTTCTCCCGGAGCTGGACTCCCCAGCTCCTCCCAGCGTTCTTATCAGAAATCAAAGCCCCTCCAAGTGCAATTGGAACTTCGGGGAAATGAGTGGAACTCTAGCGTCACTTCCGAAGTCAAACTCATAGACCAAAAAAAAAAAAAAAAAAAAAAAAAAATGCCATTTTAAGAATATTGAGAAAATGTGAAATAGCATCTTTTGGGAGGAGAACCCCCAATGTCTCTAATTCAGGATTGATTCTGAAAAACTGACATGTAGCCTTGTCCAAATTCCTAAGAGCTTTAATAACATACATACCCAGGAAAGCTGCTGCTCCAGTGGTGGCCGGCTTGGACGAGTCCACCCCTCCCAGGAGAGGGCCTCTTCTCCTAGGGGGTTAACAGTAAGCCCATGGGGTGGGTGGTCATGTAGACCCCCACAAAGGACAGTGGATTCCTCAGTTAACAGATGCCATCAGGCAGTTAGCACACTCTGCATTCACTAAGCTCCTCCCTGGAGCCTGACCTGTGTCTCTGGGCGGCTCTCCGTTTTGAGGTAGTCAGCCACACCTGAGGCTAAAGAGTTTAGCAGAGGCCAACATTTCCCAGGTGCCTTTGCTCCTGGAGTCATACTGCATCTAAAGTAAGTTCCCTTACAGCAGCGGTTCTCAACCTATGGTTCGTGACTTTGGGGGTCGAATGACCCTTTCACAAGGGTGGCCTAAGACCATCGGAAAACACAGATATTTACATTACGATTCATAACAGTAGCAAAATTCCAGTTATGAAGTAGCAATGAAAATAATTTTCTGGTTGGGGGTCACCACCACATGAGGAGCTGTATGAAAGGGTCACAGCATTAGGAAGGTTGAGAACCACTGCCCTACAGCATCCTGTGGTGAATGCTGCTGAGTGAACCGAAGCCTGCTCCTCTTTGGTTTGCTGAACTGCACTGCCCACAGAGCCTGAAGGAGGGATTGAACCGTCAAATGACCTCCTTTTTAAAAACAATGAATTTATAGGGGGTGAAACGGGTTAATAAAATTATACAGATTTCCATAGCGCCTATTGTGGGGACCCCAGTCTTATGAGAGTTCCAGCCACTGCTCTGGGAGACATTCGTCCAGTGGGAGAAACCCAGTTTCTGATTAGGTTGGAGGACTTAAAGAAAAGTACACAGGTTTCAGGTATACAGTTCTACAATACATCATCTTTGTATGGTATGTTTACCTCCCCAAGTCAAATGTCCTTCCATCACAATTTATACCCCTTTACCTCCTATTGGCCACACACACCCTTCCCTCTGGCAATCATCAGTTAAATGACCTCCTTAACCAAGTGGCAAATTACAGCAAGGGTTGTCCTTTTTAAGCCAGTTTTCCCTTCTGGGAAAGTAATGTCTTCTCGGAGAAGGGGCTGGAAATGCCTTGTGGCTACTGCAGCTATTGGGGAGCAGATGGCCGTCACTGTGCTATGATTTGGTGATGTGTAGTTTAAAAGTCCTTATGGTCCAGATCTGGCTTCTTGCTGCCAAAATCCCTCTTCTGCGCAATCTGCAATGCAATTGCTCACAAGAATAACCTGTCCCGAGATAAGCCGTCTGCGTTGCTTTGTCATACAGGATTCTGGCTATTGAAAAGGTAAAACAGAACAAAACTTAGTGATGAGCCTTTAGTCGAGATTGAAAAAGATGATTTCGACAAGCTGTTTCTTTTCTACACGTTTCATTCCCAAGCACTGTGCCTGAGCAAGAGTCACTGCCCTTCCGCCAAAGGGGCTGCTGTGATGAGAACCGGGGTCCCCCTGAACTCTGTTACGTTAGAATATGAACAGCTTCCTTCCGGCAGTAGGTTAGAGCCAGAAAAAAAGGGCGCTGCACTGTGGACATGTTAGGAAGTTCAGAATCCTCGAGGCTTACCCGGGCATCGTGTTTTATAAACCTGGGACCTGGTGGAGATAAGGAGAAAGCTCTGAACCAAATTACTGCCAGAAGTGGTGTCCTTTTTCAAAGAGGAATTTCTTCCTCTCCAAAAGCACGCCGAAGATGAACACCACACATCATTTCAATGTGCTGTGTGTCATCGGCTCCATTCCCTTCGCCAAGCCACACTGTAAAAAAGGCCCAGCAGGCATTGTAACACCCACTTAATCCACGGAAAACTGCAGCACAGACGGGGGCAGGTGGCTGGCCTCAAGTTGCTATTGGCTCGGTCAAGATGATCACCTTATTTCCACACCAGGTTCCTCTGGCCGCGTGTCCTAGACTCGAGGGGACAGAGATGGAAGTGATGAGGTGGTCTCATTTGTGAAGGCTGAGAAACACACAGCTGATGGCATGAAGAGAAAACCAGCTACGAGGGGAAGGATGGCAGTCCTGTGCAGCATTTCAGAGCCTAAATTCAATAGAAAGCAGACAGATACATGTTCCTGAATCAGAAGAGTGATGTCCAGGGGGGGCTGGTCATTCAAAGTCCTTCCATCTTCATCTCTAGGTAATTGTTAGAGACCAATCAATTAAGTGACTATTAATTCTCCTCTTGTTGGTAGCCATGGAGAGCCAACCATTGCTGATTAAGTGACCGCAGCGTAGTACCATCATGGAGGGCTGTCTTCTGGGTGTGCCCTGGGCCTCAGCTCTACCCTCAGGCTCCGCGCTTTACTTGGAGGATTTCATTCAGTCTGGTGGTCAGTGCTCTTCGGAATCCCTTGTTTCCCGAGGTCAAAACCCACCAGCATTCAGTTCTACTGCAGGGCCAACTTCTCCAACCTGGAAATACTGCCTGTTCCATGATGCTATTAGGAATCTAAGTCAGGATTTTTGTTTGTTTGATCAGTAACATGTATTGTGCTGAGAATCTTTGTGTGTCAGAGCTGAAAGGGCCCCGTGAATCACAGTAAAGGGTACATGTAGGAATCTTTGGGAACTTTTATTCAAGTCCACATGCCTGGGTCCTCCCCTGTCCCACCTGCCTCCCCCTGCCCCCCCGAGAAGCCAGTTCCCTAAGTCTGTGGTATAGCTGCCATCGGGTCTTCCATAAACTCCCCAAGCGACCCTGAGGCACCCTATGTTGTGAAGTGCTGATCTGGAGCAGACATGAGTGTCCCAGGGAGGAAAGCCAGGGCCAGAAAAGTTAGGCGTCCGATCCAAGTTCACCAGCCAACTGTTACGAAAGGGCACCTGCTTCCTCAGCCCGCACCTTATACAGTAAAGTATGCTGCCAGCTTCCCCAGCAAAGTTCAAGGAGGCAAAGTGCTTGAGACTCAGACAGCTCTCATGTCTGCCCGATTCACCTGAGCAGGCAGAGCGAACAAGCTGAGTGGACAGGCCACAAAGCGGGTATTGAAAGAATAGGAGAACCTAGCAAAGGATGTTTAGCTTGAGTGTTATGTGGACTGGCATTTTTCGTATGTAATACAGGAAAAAGCAGAGTTTTAAATGGGCTATGAGTTTTTAATGAACCGAGCAAGTTTGACATTAAACAGTAATGAAAGACACACTCTTTCCAAAAAATACCAGCAATGCAATATGCCCAGGCATTCAGTTAGTCCTTTCTGGATTAAGTCTGCAAACTCAGCTCTTTGAGTTTTGAGACAGGTACATTTAGTTTTCAGTTGGGAGGTTCATTTAAAATTAACCTTTACCTGTTCCTCAGGATGCCATTCCTATCAGGGGCTGAGATTTATTTTCCACTGCTCTATCCCCTTGGCCATTTCTGGAGCAGTAACGCCCAGCTGTGGGGAAGGGACCTTTGGTTCTGCCTCTTCCATGGTCCTTACTAATTGATATTTAGATGTTTGTCTTGCTCTCACTAGCTCTATCCATAATGAGTTAGCAACTCACCATCACCCTTGATAGTGACTTTTCTTGTGCTCTTGCTTTTTACTGCACTCTGAAAAAAATATTCCACATATTGATTTTCATTTCAGAATAGGAGCTCCCCACCCCATTTGAATTGTTACAACCAGGGTGTAAAGAATGCAAATTTGCATTTGTTTGACAGCGCAATCTTGTAATTAGAGCTTTTCCTCTTGACTAGATACAGGGAAGGGGGCATAATTTAATTTTTATAGACTAGCCAATTTCTGCCCTTAGTAAAATATAGCTCTGTCAAGTGAGCAAAATGTTACAGGTTCTCCAAAACCTTATTTAAAAGTTAAATGCAGTATATTGAGAGAAAGTTCATGGTCTGAATCAGTAACCTAATCGATCTCTTCACCCATCCTCTGCAACATGCATTAATCTATTTGTCTGTTTTGCAATACAAGAGTTACTGATTTATATGCCATGTTGCATCTGCATTATGGTTGTATGAGCAATGGCGATTTTCCTTTTGGATTACTTAGTTGCTCATTCAGTTGGGCAGGGAGAG